GATGAACAAAGTAGTTATTTGATTATGTTTTATCGTAATGAGTGTGTGTAGTGGCGTAGTGGTAAGCTGTTGAAATTTACATTACACAACACAACTATCATTGTTTACACTCTCCGTTGATGTAGATGGTTAGTTGTTATCGCAATTTCTCTTTACATTGCCAATTCACACTTAGAACCAGCCAGACATACATTTCGTAAGAGAAGCTACACAAAAATATGCAATTTGTTTTTCTGTTTCTTGTCTTACTATAAGAAATCATGCCAGTCAATGAGTTATAATGTCATTATTGCGTTTACGTTATGTAATACTAACAAATAATGATAACATTGACACACGTTGACAATGATAGATCGCAAACGCTAAGGTATAAGAAAGACAAACAATTGCATACGATAAGAAGCTATTGTAGTTCCAAACCATAACGTAGGTCAGCTCGCAAAACGATAAAAAATAAAAATTAAGTGTAACTACAGATTTTATTTCAAATAACATTCGTACCTTCGGAATTGAAGGAACTTCGTTCTTGACGGGAGTCCCCGACCGCACACGTTTTTCTTGTTATATATATCCCCTTTTATATACCTTTCTTATCAGACATTTCTGATTGTACATATTTCCATTTTCTACCTTGATGTCTATTTTGACTTATTAAACCTTTTCTGTATCTAATTCTACATACCCCTTAAATTTTAGCTTTCTTTTACTGCGTTCGTTCTTATTAACAAATCTCTATTTTACAACCCCTACTGACATACGTAATCTATATTTTCTATTGTCTATCCTTAATAATGATGCTCTTCTTATAGTTTTCAGATTTCACTTTTCTTGCGTTTATTTTTCACGAATAGTTTCTCTTTCAGTTTTGTTCTATTCTAATACATGAAAGTGAACTAAATTTTTCAAACAATTTTTTTTATCACTATCTACATATAACCTACAATTAATAAGAAAGAATTTTTGCTGCTGTCACGTCCTCGCCTGGAATCGAACCGGGATCTCTAGCTTTTAGCAATTCTGATTTATCACTAAAATGCGAGAGGTGATAGCAACAACGACGATATGTACCCAACTATACGTAGGTCACAGAATATTTGAACGAATATATAATGTGTTTAGGTACGTATCATCGTTGCTGCTACTGTCATCTTTCCTAGTTTAGGGATAATGCAATTGCGCGCAAAGCTGGATACGATTCTCAGGGAGGGTGTAACGAGCCTAACCGGTTTAGTTCGTGAATTCTTTAATAACAGAAAGGAAAAACCAGCTTTTACTTTTTTACTAATAAACACAAACATGTTAAAAAACAAAAGTACATTCAACATTCAAATAAAAATAAAATTAAAGAAAGAGAAATCGAACCCAAAATAAAAAAAGAATCACGAAATCAAAAATAGGTGTATGTAATATTATAAATAGTCTTCGTGCCCCTGTCCGAAGGTGAAATGAAAACACTTCACAAATGGTAGTCTTAGAATGCGTCCACACCCTTGGACACTAAGATGTCTACTACTGTTGGCGGGAGGTCTCGTGGCGTCGATCGATGATCCTCTTCCAACGCGCACTTTCACCTATAATGCTATAACTCCTTAACCGCGCACCACACTACCGCGATAGCAGGACCTTGGAGAACTGCCTGGCCCGTTACATGCTGTACTAATTAATTTGAGGTACCGTATTGTTAAAAAGAAAGAAAAAAATGATGCAAAAATTAATTTACTCTAATGTATTAAAATTAACCCTACTGTAAGAAATCTGGTACCGTCAGAGTAATCGTCAAGTAGTTGTGATGATAGTTGGTCGTCGTCTAATGATAGTCGGGGTGTGAAAAGACAATTACAATTGCTTAAATGAGAGTTATACTTATTAAAAAAATAAATCAACTTCTGCTCTACGTCCCGGGGATGAACTGATGATTCCTGTTTTCGACCCAGCGAGAGACCATAACGTGGTGGAAGGATGAGTCGATAGGGTGGATCAATTAACGGAAAGATACAACTGGAACAATGACATGATTATACATTTGGTGGCCAGCAGACTTCAAGGAAATGCACGGCAATGGTTTGACGAACAAATGAAGTTCGATGCTACTTGAAATAATATAAAGAGTAACATGATGGGACAATTTCGTAAGTCTGTTCCATTTTCTAAACTACTAAAAGATGCCACCAATTATGAAACACCATCCGGACAAAATTTAGGCGATTATTGCTTTCAAAAGCTTTCAAAATTACGAGCTTTAAACTTAGAAATTCCAGATGATGATTTAATAGATGCTGTAATTGGAAATATCAGTAATGAAAATATTGCATGTACTGTAATATCTGCGAGGCACATAGCCTCTATGCTTATTTAAACACGTTGGGTGGTATGCCAGGAACAATTACAAACGATATTCCTAGTACTAGTTATAGCCAGTGGAAATTAAATACGAGTTTTCGTCATGATAAAGTTAATCAATGGCAGTCACGAACGACAAAACGAAAGAAAGGTTTCACACAAACATCTTCATTTATATAACAACCCTGTAATTGTTATAATTGTGGTGCTCTCGGACATTTTGCGAGAGATTGTAGAAAGCTGAAATTGGAATGTAAGCGTTGTAATAAATTAGGTCATACGAAGGAACGATTCCCATTCGGGAATACGAAATCTGACTCATGTGTTAATATTGTTATTATAAATCCTAATGAATTAAACATGTTTAATTTTAAAACACAACTATGTAATATAGTTACTATAAAAGATTTTATGGGAAACAAAGGAACCACGGTCACTTGTAATTCCGTTACGAAACTTTTTATTTGAATCATGGAAGCATCGGCAATTGTCACAGCAATTATAGTTCCGGATGATTCCTTATCACATGATTTAATAATTGGAAGGGATTTTCTTGATCAACCACATATATTACTGATCAAACCAGGACACTCGATTAATATTCTCAATAAGCACTTGTGGTACTTAAGTCCCGAGGTGGTTGCCTTTTCTTTTTTTGTTGATGATGTTTCCTTTAAAGTAAAGGAAATGATGTGTCAAAGAATAGATGTATACAAGATTTTAATGATGAAACTAATGAAGAGGTATACGGTTTACCAAAAAAAAAAATACATACAAACTTTCGGAGCTTGAACAAATGGAAGAATTGGACGAATTTACTTCTTATAAAACAAAAACATATTTTTACTCGTTTTTATATCATCATCATTTCTCGCTCCTTCTGAGTTAAATCATATGAAGGCTATCAACGCGCGAAAAGAATTGTATAGAAAATCAGTTAAGCTCGACTGATGAGCAAAAACATCGATTACCGAAGAAAGTATCCCAGCTCAAAACAATCCACACTGGTAATGCAACCCTAATAACATAGAGTGCAAGTACGTCTTCGAATCTGTAGATCGCGTAAATGAATAATAAAGTTATGTATAGGGTTGTTCGGAAAGTCATTTCGTCTTTTTTTGTGGAAATGAAAGACAGTTTTCGTATAATAAACAAATACTTTATTAAATTATATATTGACCGTTCTGGTCCAACACCTTTTGCCATCTTTCTGGTAGTAGCATAATTCCACGCTCATAAAATTTTTGGTCTTTGCTGGCAAAAAACTGATCGAGGAGGTTTTTGACCTCCTCATTTGAGGTGAAGGTTTTACCGTCTAAAAAATTTTGGAGTGACCGGAACAAATAATAATCCGATGGTGCCAGGTCTGGAGAATATGGTGGGTGTAGCATTGTATCCCATTCAAGCTGTAAAAGCTTTTGGCGAGTGACCAAACTTGTGTGAGGTCTCGCGTTGTCTTGGTGAAACACTACACCTTTCCTGTTGATTAGTTCTGACCTTTTCTGTTGAAGTGCATCATTCAGTTTGTCCAGCTGATGACAGTAGACTTCCGAATTAATCGTTGTGTTATCCGGTAAAAGCTCAAAAAAAACGATTCCTTTAAAATCCCACCAAACAGACAGCATCACCTTTTTTTGGTGAATATCGGCTTTGGAAATGGTTTGAGCCGGTTCATCTTTTTTGCTCCATGACCTCTTGCGTTTGACGTTGTTGTATACAACCCATTTTTCGTCCCCAGTGATGATGCGCTTCAAAAACGGATCATTTTCGTGACGTTTGAGAAGCGAATCGCAGACGTCAATGCGGCGACACAGATTTCTCTCTGTGAGAACATGGGGAACCTATACATCGAGCTTCGAGAATAATCCCAGGCCTTTCAAGTGGTCATAAACTGTTGAATTTGATAAATTTAACCTCAATCCGATCTCGCGTGTTGTTATTGCCGGTTCACATGAACTAGTGCGCTTATCGCGTCTTTATCAGCTTCAACCGGCCTTCTCAAACTTGGTGCATCTTCGACATCAAAATTGCCGGATCGAAATTTAGCAAACTAGTTCTGGCACTGGCGTACTGTCAACACACCTTCTCCATACACATCAGTCAATTTCTTTCTGGCTTGAACAGCATTTTTACCCTTTCTGTAGTAAAACAGTGAGATATGTCGAAAATGCTGCTTATCGCTCTCCATATTTAAAAGGGCACCAACCAAAAACTACTGCGTAGAATTAATTGGAATTTTTCACACACAAGCCTTGCTATATGAGCTCTCAAAGCATATAAAAATTATACGGCTTAAATGTGAAGTTGGGTGCAAAAGAATACAATTAAATCCTCTGTCGGGAAAAAACGAAATGACTTTCCGAACAACCCGATATTTATGTACGTGCAAAAATTTCATTGTTTTTATTTGTTCCTTTAACCTTATATTGAAAGTATAATAACTACTTTCAAAACTTCATTTCATTTTTTTAAAACTTTCTGACGTACTAATCTTTTATACCCTAAGCAGCAAGCAAAATTAGGTAGTTTTCGAATTTGATTTGCATAAATTGAACTGAAATATTAAGCTTATAATTTTTTCAGAACCGTTTCAGGCGATAGTAACTTCAAAATTTGAAAAAAAAATCCTATACATATAAGGGCCAGTCTTTACCAAAACAAAATTTTTTAAATCTTTATTCATTGATAATTAACAAAACAAACCTTTTCTATAGTATATGAAAACACAATTAATTACTAACTTCCATTCTCAAGAAGTCCCACATCATCATTCTGTCAAAATGATTCTGATTCACCACACCAGCAGGTGTTAACTCTAGAATATTCTTGTCCTTCAATAGCGATAGGCCGAACGTCACACTCTGCTGGTGGAATATACCATGCGCTGCCTGACGAAACAATGCAGAATCGCCTTGCGGTCCGTCAAAATCGACTACCTCAAGTATTTCCTCACCGTTGATGAGCGCACGAATACCGGCTTTGACCCTAGCAGTAAATCCCAGTATTAATGTGGCGTTGCCTTTAGTTGACCCGCTATAATTGAATCTGACTTTCCAGATGGTAGGTTGCGCATTTTGGGTGACATTAACCAGTTTAAGTTGAGCAGGAAAGCCAGGTGTCTTGATCGTGGGCATAAAATAGCACCAGTCTTCGGCTGGGTCACTAAGACCTACTGTGAAATCCGGATCGTTAGGAAATGTCTTGGGATAGCTGAGCCATGTGCCAAACTTACGGTACTCTAAACAAAATTACCACATTTGGTAACATTAAAACTGAATAAGCTTGCACAGTAAAGTAGGTTTTTCGTTTTGGGAGTGCGTTTTAAATAGAAATTTTCAATTAGGAGTTCCCAGCACTTGTATTACAGGTAGCCACTATTCAAACTTCAAAATAAATTTGCTAATAAATGAGACAACTGGAACAAATTACATGTGTTTTTGTGTACTAGAGGTCTTTGAATTACAAGAAAATTTCATCATTACTCAGTCCTTTAGAGTCTGGTTATGCATTCTCCAATTGGGCATACTTTGTCTCACAACGTTTGCCACAAATGACAAGTTACTAATTTACCTAATTATTATCTCGCCAAGTGAGCTTTGGATGTAGTAAAGTAATAGATAAGAAAATTAATTTTCACTATTAAATGTCAAAATGTTTCATACAGTATTAATAAATAAGAGCTCTTGCATCGTGACCATACTTATCAAAGGATCAACCTACTTTGAGAATAGCATGTGTAGACCAGTCGTTACAAGTAGCATTCTCTTGTATTAATTTACAATCTGAGAATCTCAGACAAGAAAATCATTCAAAAATAATAAAGTACCTTCTAAATTAGGGATAGGCGATGGAAAACCAGGTGGCGATTTAAATTCTGCAGAACTTCTATCAGGCACACCGATCTGCCAAAGTAATTCGCCATGGGTCTCCTGCTTCCAATCAATTGTGCCAAGATCACTGTTCTCTTTTTGATAGACGTGAATGTTGTCTTGAATGTACCTTCCAACCACACCCTTGGCTATCACTTGCAGTTTGTATGTGCCTGGTCTCACAGCTGGTATTTTGAATTCACCTAAATATGATTAAAATTTTGAGTATTTTAAGATCTTTTGATTAATAATTAGGTCTAATATGGGAAATTATTTCTAATGTGTATTATTTAAGTAAAAAAAATTAAAACAAATGAGGTTCAGAATAAGTAGTCTAAAAATTAGCGAATTTGTCACATTGTATTTAAATCTTACTGAATTAGTTTATGTAAACAGAATTTCGATACAATTACCATTTTTTCCTGCTACTGCGGAATACATGTAAGTGGCCGACTCAAACTGTGGATCATCAACATGAGGTTCGGTTAGAATAAGGTATGTCCACTCTTTATTCGGCGACCCATCCACAGTAAGTACTCCCGACACACTGCCCCTCCCTTGTGCGTTGTACTCTGGTGCGGTGACAAACTGGTACGGCCACTTCTTCTCCTCTTCTCTGAGTTGTCTCTGAGCGTCGGAATACATTTCCGAAAGACTAAGTCCTTCATTGAAATATAAGCCGATTGGACCGTACACTTTGGTCCATCCCTTTGTGGGTACCAGTTCTGGAGTGCCGTAGTGTCCCGAGTGTTCATGGAAAAGCAACAAATGTCCGGTGTGTGTTGTCAGGTCCTACAACAAAGAATTTTTGAAGGTTGCTTCGAAATGCGATTAGTCGAACATTAGGTGTTAATGATTATTTTATCCATCAGAACTATATCCAAATTATCAATATTTAAAAAAATTGGAAAACAACGCCGCGGTTATCTTATTCGTCGTGTGTTGTGTTAATACTTTTAGAGAATTTAAATTCACTCCTTTAATAAACCTACATAAGGAAAGCATAAATTATCGTTCCTATCTACTCTCAAGAACTGAGCTTAATTAGAGTCATGCTTATTGACTTGGAATGAATTTGAAATTTCTCAGTGGCATCCATTTTAAAATTCTTTGAGCAGGATACAATGTAAGTTTTGAATATATCAGAAAACTTTAAACCTTCTCCCAAAGCTTTTATTTGATTTATGAACATATGATTTCATTTTAATGTGAATTTAAAAAATCAACTTTCTAAATTAGTTGTTGACCTCCCTATGAGTCAGCTTAAATAAATCAGTATTCATTATGAACATAAAAAGGAAGTATAGGCAAGGGAGGGTATAATACTTTGGCATTGATTCTTATTTTACATACACCAATTAGGGGAAGAAAATGAGAAAATATTATTATGAACATCGACTAAATGACAGCTAACCTGCTTGAATGGTCCTCCACTGACCCATTCTTTGTGTGTCTGTAGTAGAGACAGTCCGAAGCGATTACCATAAATACCGAACACAGTGTTTATGTCTTCATTAGACGATATTTGCTGATATTTTGAGTAAACTGTTCCATCTTTGAACATATATGTCCAGTCTTGTACAGTCTGTGTCTGGGCTGATTTTATATCTCGCTGTAAGGGCATAGTCCCCGCCCTCTTTCCATCTACACTATAGTACTTGAAAATGTCCATGTTGGCCCTTATTGCCCATCGTAGCTGACCGGCAGTGTAACCATCTCTCAAATACTTGTGAATGGAGTAGTAGTAAAATACGGACGAATTCTTTTCGAGGACCAAGTGAAACTCGAAGTAGACTGGCCAAATGCTTGTGTCGTTGCTTATGAATGCAATGTCGATAAGTTCGGCCTGGTTAATTTAGAAAATTTTGATTATTATCTTCCTTCAAATTAGAACCAAACAGGAAGTGTATAAGAATTGAAAGGAACTTAATAATTAATATTCGTTTAGATGGTCAATTTTGAATAATATAGTCAATCCTATATCAATCTAAATAAAAATTAAATCCGAAATAATTATTAATAATTTCATGATGGTAACGCTATTTACGAACTATCAGTGTTCACTCATTTTATTCTACTGTATTATAACTATAGCTGTGCACGACAAGAGCTATTATAATGTAAAATTAAAATAAAATTAAATTAATTAAGTTTGAATAAAGGTGTTTTTTGTTGGATGTTAAATATTTTATTTAATGATAGTCCAACTCTATTGAGTTTTGAATAATTAAAAACGATTATTCTAATCACTACATGTTTACTCTGTGGTATATATGAAGTTCGGATCGAAAATTGAGGCGCTGTAGTCACCAAAGCTTTGCGACCCTATGTGCTGTGGTGGAATTCCATACGTGAATACGATCAAGGGAGGAATGCAGGAATGTACTTCCGGTTATTATATACAGTGACGGTTACATTACAATTCGCCAAGGGAGGTGCATCCTGGTGGATATGGTGTGTCGAACACGATCAGAGGAATAGCTCGAATAGTCCGTATTGTAATTGACGTTTCACCCTGCGTGGAGTCATCAGGTGAGTGCAATAGTTGACGACGTCAACACGGTGGCAAATGACGTCAAGGGAAGTTTCACAATTACAAAAATGTCACAGGAGAAGGCGCATAAAAACAAAGAGACACAGGGAAAAGCTCACAAAAGCAATGGGTCACGGGAGGAGGCGAAGAAAAACGAGTCACAGGGAAAAGCTCACAAACACGAATGAATCGCTAGCGAGGGCTCACAAACACAAATGGGTCCCAGAGCATGTAAATCGTTGCAGGAAGTTACATTATAAGGAGACTTGATATTGAGACACTCCACCGTTTCCATGAAGACACATACGGTTCGGCATTCGACGGATCTAATCGTAACAAAGGATATCCGGACGATTACGCAGCAACGTCCCCACCTCTTCAATGTGCAGGCGAAGAGTTTTCTCTACATCAATCTACCTTCTGTAAACATAAGACTTCAGAAAACTCCACATGCAATAATCCAATGGATTCAAATCGGGAGGGCGAGGTGGCCACGTGAGAGCCCTTCATAACCGATTCTGCAGTCTGGATACTGGTAGTGGAGGATGGTGCGAACCGTAAGATAAAAAAAATTAGTCGAGCACCATCGTGCATAAACCTCATGTCCCTAAAGATTATTAAAGGCAGCAAGTCCTCAAACAGTGTGTCATTCAGAAATTCCGGGTTGGTCCGCGCATTCAAACGGGCCGAAAGAACATAAGGTACAAGTATATGCTGCAAATTGAATATGTCTGTACGGGTGAAACAGCACTAATCCGTCTACTAATTCGCTGGACAAACAGCTGTCTGGGAAGAATTCGTTGATGAAATACTCTACATAAGTACCATCATCTCGGGTAATCTGCTTCCGACAATTCCTGCACTTTTTGATAATAATAGGGATGCAGGGAATTCTTTCTTAAAATTCTCCATGCCGTATCATGCGGAATCCCTGTTTGCCGGGTACTCAAACCGGGATCTTCTTCTATTAATCTCAAAACGATTTCGTCAGTACCGGCTCGTCGTCTTTGCTGGCCTTCACTCCTTCGGTGCTGTATCAAATTTCCTGTTTCGCAAGCATTGTATTGCAGCGACAATTGTAATAGCATGCAAAAATTGCCTCTTCGGAAAACGTGACCACTATATACGCATATTCTGCATGCGAATACATTGCTTTTTGTTTGATATTTTCACGCGTAACTTATTTTTATATTTTGTAGTAGTTGTAGTAACTTTACCAATCGAACAATAACTACAGACTGTAAGCTACTACTAATCGTCACTCATGCACTTAACCTGTCTGTGTGGCAGCTGTTGCGAAGGTCACAAGTAGAGGTATGTGTGTTTCGTCACTAGACGCTTACGATGACGAAGTGCGATAAGGGCCAAACTAGCGATCCTTCTCAATCATTGACGGCTCGTTAACTAGAAACGCTACTTTTTGTGCAACTTTTTACCCCCTACATAGTGGCACTATTACGAGCTTTCCTTTCAAATGTTCCATTTAAATGGTATAATTTCATCTATTATATTCAGTAGTCTAATAACTGTTCAACCATACCTAACAATGGGTCTACGTAGCTTAATTAAAAAGAATGTTTAGTTGTTTAAAAAAACATTAGCTGTTGTTTTATCTTCAAATATTTGAGCTATCGAGGTCTAATTTTACAATTTATTTAAAACAATAGTTATAAAAGTATATTAATTTCTGTATTAAATTGAAATTTTATAATTTTTATTTCAACCAAGTGTAAGTAGGCTACTCACAGTTAAGGTTAGTTACATTTTTCTTATATCGATAATTAAAATAAAAAATAGTAATGTTCTTGCCATTTACTTATTCTCTCTTATTCCAAATTAAATATTAAATTAGTTAGCAAAGTTTTGGTGACCCAAACGTCTCAAGTTTTTCAATTCAATTTACCCCAACTTCATATGCAACACAGAATAAACATCTTGTGGATAGGAAAGTTGTTTCTGAGTTCTTCAATTATGTAATATTATATTGACAATTGGACAACCTTTATCTGTTATGTTTTCTCTAATAATACATTTCGCTGATATTTCGTTATGACAATGCGAGATCTTATCTGCTTAAAAGATCTAATTCAGTTCTATATTCTTTATGTTGAACATGAGGTTAATTTATAAAATTTTAAAACTGCAAATTCAAAAAATTAGTACTAATCAAAGTTTTGGCTGAAATTGATATTATTAATAGAAGGTGTTATCGATGATTTAACATTTAAGAAGGTTTTGTATCTAACAATTCTTTCTCGACACTCACATTCTGGGTAATATTTATATTTCCCATATAAGGTCTAACCGACGCATTCTTGCCGTCGACATCAATATTGGCAAGGTAATAGTTAGAGCCGCCTCCCACCAGGTTCGTTGATTTGATGGTTGTATCGATAATCGAATTATAATAAAGTTCAATGATCTGTCCTTTTGTCTTATTAATGGTCATTGATAGCCTTTCGTTTTCGAGTACCAAATCATTGCCATCGGTGACACACAGGCGTTGGAAGGATAGTTTATTGCATCGTTGACCTTAGCAATGGATTGGTTTAGTTGGATGTAATAGTATTAAAAAAAAAAAATAGAAATTTATGGAAAATACCACAAATGGCGTGGTAAACGCCATCTGTAGTACGATGCTACATTTAAGGATTACATATGCTCCAACAAGGTCCATTTAAATATATGGATATCTACTTGCTGAAACGAATCCCGGCGTAACTAACCTCAACGTGAAAGGCACGTTACCATAAACGAACATACGTGATCCCAAAATGTGGCATCGTACTACAGATGGCGTTTACCGCGCCATTTGTGGTATTTTCTAAAACGCACTGTTAAGACAGCAGGTAAAAAGTTGGTTTGTGTTCTGTCGAAGCTGTCTGCGACGCGCTGATGAGACCCAAAAAGTTCGAAATCGCGATCCGCGTCTGGCAGTTGCGACAGAATACAGACCACTTCGAATTATTTTATTAGAAATTTATAAATAAGCCACTGGCGGTCAATTATCTTTATTGGCTCTGAAGCCCAGTTCTGTTGTTAGGTCGACTACTTTTGTATTTATGAACTGTTTTCTAAGTAACGATTTCGAATCGGTTTAGTATGAGACAGGCGAGTTGATGAAAAACATTACAGCTTCCCTCTTGACGCGTTTTGTGTAAATTAGGTAAAAGTGAGGAAAAAGGAAAGTCCTTCCCTTACATATACTTTTATCAGAAATTGAGAAGGACAGAATGGACTGATACCTACCATTTCTAAAAAATTAAAACTGTTTGGAACATCTTACATTTTATAATATTTTGTACAATGATTTCGTTCAATGTCATATTAACAACACTAATAGCATACATAATAATAGTTAGCGTCAGGCATAATGAGTTTAATGAATTCTAGAATAGTAAATAAGCAAATCCACTAGTCTACCAGTACAACGACTCATCTTATGAAATCTGCTTACATATATTAATAATGTAAATTAACTATGTATACGATCTGTTTGTTTAAACTCTAAAAAATTCAAGTTATCAACATATTCGAATATACCTAAATAGCTTACCTGATGATGTATGCACAAGTAGCAGGACCAAACTCGCTATTAGACATTTAGTTGACATCTTCGACTAAATGACAACTGAGAATTCGATCTTCGATATATTTATGCCTTAAGTGTGAAGATCGGTTCGTCTGATAACGATGTGTTGAAATAAAAAACACTTGACGTAATCTAAAAAATGATAATGTTGATCTCGTTGTCATGTAGTATAAATGTGAGTTCCAAAATTTTTTTCAGTTCGGATAAATTACATGACTAGAATTAGACTTACGGAATGGTTTGACTTATCTTCTCAGAGGTATTGTCTGAATCGGTCTCTTCCGCATAACAAATGCTGTGAGTGTTAAGCAGGTGAGTATGGCGATTTTAATGCACTCATCTAATAGTTTATTTTATGCATTAGTACAACTATAGAACATGGCGTTTCCTCACGTGCGTGCCTTCGTAGAAATTTTTTTTTGAAGTTTTGGTCCCGACAGTTAAATTGCTTTTGATGAAAGCCACTGGCGGTCAATTAACTTTATTGGCTCTGAAGCCCAGTTCTGTTGTTAGGTCTACTAGTTTTGTATTTATGAACTGTTTTATAATTATGTAACGATTTCGAATCGGTTTAGTATGAGACAGGCGAGTTGATGAAAAACATTACAGCTTCCTGCTTTGTGTAAATTAGGTAAAAGTGAGGAAAAAGGAAAGTCCTTCACTTACATATACTTTTATCAGAAATTGAGAAGGGCAGAATGGACTGATGCGTACCATTTCCAAAAAATTAAAACTGTTAGGAAATTTAATTAGAATATTTGTTTCATATTTCTCAATTCAAATTCACAACAATATTGCTTATTTTTATATTGGACAAAGTCTAAAATTACTATTCTAGATCAGTAGAACAGCCAGTTCTTGAGTCAAGGGCAATCCATTCTTAGCTTCTAAAGACACCGTAGAGTCAGGCTACTTAGTACCCGCGGGGCTATTTAGAACTAACTAGTTAGTAAATACGTCTGAGTAAAAAATGCATTACTGTATGAGTCGTTCATTGATTTCCTTTTATTTTTTCGTGGTTGCAGGTTTAGTTTTTATGTATTCGCATGACCTAATGTTTGCCTACATGACCGGAAATACCAATCATGATTGACCCATGCTGATTGGCTGATTTGGATGGCGTGATCGTCGAACATTTTAGATTTATCGATTTTCTGGTTTCTGTGCGGGAATTTTGCGCAGATATTTTGTGGAACTTGTTTGGTCACTCTACAGATTGCGTTTATGTATTTTGGTTCAGTCTGAGGACCTTTTCCTTACTTAGCGGTGTATTGAAAACTCTGCGGGAAATCCCTATTTGTATTGTTTTATGTTTGGAGCTGATTTTGTTTTTAAATATTCTTATGTAGGTACTTGCTTATTTGAAACTGTTCCTACATTTTTATGTGTGTTTTGTTAGAGAACTTCGAGCTCTCTTTGGTCAGGAGGATTCAGGAGACCACCGAATTTGCTACCCTACGGTAATCTCTTGTGTTTTTTAGTTCTTTAGTTTTAAAAGTGGCGTCCGAGTTTTAATTACGGAAATGGATTTCCCAATTTGGAATTTTGTTGAATAAAATTCTGTTTGCTTGCTGTTTACGAAAAAATATGATTTTATCTCACTTGTTGCAACGCTTCTCGTTATAATGTATAGCGAGGAAGTATAAATTTAATCACGTTCGTATGCATAATCAGATCTTTTCAAATACAAGTGGAGGGGATGTGGATAAAAAAAAATGTAAATTGCATACAAGAAATGCATTAATTGCTCTCGTGTGATACTCAAAAGTTGGTATCAAAAATTAAAATTAGACTTCAGTGTTAGTACCGTCAGATACAATATTTCCTTTATAATTTACGCCTTCTGAAAGCTTATTTGTGTATCGGTTCCAAGTGACTTACCCAAATAGGTTATAAATGGGCAAGTACCTGCGCGACCGCTCGCCAGCTTCCTTCGTCAGACCTGTACATAGGTGGTTTGTCAAATTTTTTCGACCTCTCTTTTGGTTCGCGAGGAAAAAAGGTTGGGAAACACTGGTCTATTCGATGGGTAATGTGGGACAGTCAATGTAATTATAAATCTAATATTACTTATAAAATATAATCTTAAAACCTTTAAGAGTTTTAGTAGATAAATTGGTAAACGTAAAGTCGTAATTGATTTTATAATCGAAGTACATTAAGAATTCTTTCAATATAACGATATTTTTAGCACTACATAGCCCCACACTGCGATAGGTTAACATAAATGACAATAGAAAATAGTATTGACAAAAAAAGAAATTGGAAACGAAATGATGCTATTTTAAGATTTTCATAACTCTTTTATTTACGAGGAATACATATATTTAGCCAACATTGCCATCATCATGCAAAAGTATTCACCACTAAATATAGCAATTTGCAAAATTACTGAAATAGGTATAAAGGAAGAGGGTTGGTAATGGTACAAAATTTTTCGAAACTGGTTAATGATCCTCTCCAAAACCAGTTTATTCAATAAGTTCCCTCGAATTATTGAATCCAATTGGTCATGTAGGAGTAGACCTTAGTTTTTTAATTTATCAATTTTTAGATGTTCTAATAAACTTAAATTATAAGTATTGTTTAGTTGCAATATTTATAAATTATTACTAAAACTATGACATGATTGAGTAATAGAAGTCGCGTAAGTTAAATCTGTTTTGTTTTTTAACAACTATTCCTACGATCTGGTAGGCACTTTTAAAACTCCCCGAATTTAGGAAAATACCCACGAGTTAAATTTATAACCTCTTGGGATTTTTCTTTAGTAAGGTTATGTATCGTTATTATTGTCTATAAATTTATTTGCCGAGTGACTTGTCTTATAAAGTATATTAAAACTTAGCCATTTATGTGTGAATAAAATTTTTCTATAATAGGCTTCCCACATTTTGTTTGGATTATATTTGCAATATCTTCCATTTAGTTGAGCACATGTAATTATTTTAAAAAAGAATGTCTTACTAGGTCAATAAATAACAATTTAAAGTAAAATTAGTCCTTTTAAAGCATTTATTCTCTTCTTAGTCATTATTGCTGTATCAGAATTAAGAAGCCAACAAATAAAACAAATTATAACATATAAGTATAATTTGCATACTAGTCTTATTTCATGATTTATGAAATTTTTAACGAATGAAGGCGTTAAACCAGCCGAAATTCGAGACTGAGTTGAAGGAGGATGCACTCTCACGGCCGCGAATAAAAGCCTGGTGTGCCAAGTTCAAGAATTGACGTGAAAACGTACAGAATTTAAGTCACCCAAGATGTCTGCGCTCCATCATTACGCCTGGCAATATCACTGCTGTTCGCGAACTCATTCAAATAAATCGGCGCTTGACCGTGGCTGAAATAAGTAAAGAAATGGGAATCAGTGTTGGAAGTGTACACAGCATTAGTCGAGACCAACTTAAACTCCGAAAAATCCTGGCAAGATGGGTACCAGATTTGCTTACCCAAAAAAACAGAAATGCGAGAATTAAAGTTTGTCAGACGATTCTTGCTAGGTTTCACAACGAAGGGGAGGCATTTTTGCATCATATTGTAATGTGCGATGAAACGTGGGTTCACCACTACACTCCCGAGTCGAAGAGGTCCAGTATGGAGCGGAGAACAAAGGAAGAGTCAGGACCATCGCTTGTCAGCTGGGAAGGTGATGTTAACGGTTTTTTGGGACTCTCAAGTTTTTCTCCTCTGAAAAATTGTCGTACGATAAAACGCTCTATATTGCTGTGACCTCCTTCACAAAGTTCGAGCTGCCTACCAGTAAAAAAGACGCCGGCGGTCAATCCGAGATGTTCTGCTTTTGCATGACGCTGCAACACCCCACAATGCAAGCCTAACGGTCCAGAAATTAGTCAAAATACACTGTACTAAACTCGATCACCCTCCCTGCAGCCCTGATATTTTATCATGCCTTTTATTTATTACTTGGTGGAGAGCGTTTTGCGGACGATTAACGGGTCGAACAGTTTGTGCGCAGTTGGTTGGATACTCGCCCGAATTCATTCTTCAAAAATGGCATTGTTGCGTGATGTGACGATGTAAAAAAATAATACAATCGTCGGTGTGCTGCTGTAGGACCAGTGCACTCGATGGTAAAACAAACTCACACAAGAAATAAAAATAACTATATTTAAATTGCTACAAGTGCACACTAAATTAAAGGTTTACGGAGAACTCGCCTAAATATATGTTAGGATGGTAAAATATGTTAATTTGTTCTAGATGTTGGCGATGGTTTTGACTATTCTCTTGTTCTCTCTCGATGAATGAAGTTGTTCTCTTTAAATTCTTAACATATAAATTGTCATCCCTACTATGAAAATGAGCCAGCCGAAACTGGTTCAAGCTGTACAACTATTGTTAGGGTGATGACTTCACCAACCCTAGAAATACCAAATGGTGAAGATTTCGGAACAGACAATACATCATATACGTTTCTTTGGTACCTGCACAACAATAGTGCAGGAATTGAACATAATTTGGAAATGTTGCTGAAGGCAGATTCTTGAATACAAATAATAATATTCAACCGATACAATTGATACAAATAAACAAAGAAACAAATGTGCAAATGAACAAATATACATACAAATAAGCAAAGAAATAAATATACAAATAAAAAGATATATCTACAAATGAATATACAATTATGACTAATATATGTATATAAAAAATATGTTACAAACATGTAAACAGGCATGAAAAAACTACTTGTTCGGTGGGAAAANCACTGAACATATTAACTTTTTATTTGATTTAACTTTAGAAGAAAACTTCGTCGACTCCATCATCAAAAAAATTTTTACTTTTTTAACGTGTTTTATTATTTTAATAAACAATTTTACAATTTGCGTGCACAGTTCCTTTGTAAATTTTTCCCTCATTCGAGTTATAAATTTTGTCACCAGATGGTGCATGCCCATTTGACGGATCCAAATTGGGATTTTAGCATCTCCAGCCATAACTAGTATTAATTGGGGTAAACGAATTGGAATCATAAGTTTATAAATCAACTAATAATTCGGAAAATAATATTCTAGGTAACTCCTA